GGGAAAAGCGGGGCTCCGCGCCGGTCCGGGGCGGCAGGCGGAGGCTGGGGACGCGGGGACCGGGGCGGGCAGGGGGTGGGCGCTCCCGTGGATACCCCGGGTGCCGGCTCCCGGCCGCCGGTCGGGTATTGCGCCCACAGACGCGAAGTGGAGCGCTGCTTTCGGAGCCGGCGCCGCCGCCCCAGGGGCCGCCCGGGGGGAGCCCCGCTCCTTACGGCGTGGCCGCCGCCAGACGTGGCCCCGCGGCGCGACGCGACGGCTCCTCGCGGGCCCCCCCCCGGGGCCGCCCCTGGCGCGGCCACCGCACAGGGGCGGCGCCGCCCTCGCCCGCGGGGGCTCTCGGCAGACGGGCCCCCTCTTGGAGACCTCCATGCGCAACGCGGACCGGCGGGCGGGAGAGCCCCGCTGCCGCCGCCCGCCGCCGCCCGCCGGAGCCCCGACGGCGGCGGGTCCGCACCGGGGGCTGCGGCTGGGAGCCGCCCCCGGCCCCGGGCCGCCCCGCCCGCCCCCTCCCGCCCGCGGCGGCGGCGCGGGGAGCGGCGGGACGCACGTGCGCCCGCGCGGGGTCCGGCCCGCGGCGAGGCGCGCGGCGGCGCGGGGCGCGGGGGCGGCGCGGGGCCGGGGCGGCCGCGCCAGGGGAGCGGCGCGGGGGGCGCGCGGCGGCGCGGGGGGCACCGACACTCCCGCGAGCCCGCCGGGACCGGGCCCGGGCGCGGCGGCGGCGGCGCGCTCGTCCCCGCCGGGCGGTCTCCGGAGAGGCCAGCGGCGGCCGGGCGCGCCTTGCCTGCAGCCGGAGCCATTCATCCCCCGCCCCTTTGTTCGCCCTGAGAGTTACGCTGTGAATTAAAAGAAATGACAATATTTCTATCTGCTCGCCCGGCCAGGAGAAGGGCCCTTGAGCCTGGCAAAAATCAGGCGGATCATTCATCGTGCCACCCCGCACCTGTGGGCTTGGCATTGAAAACCCCGCGGACCTCTTCCTATTCAACCTAATTATTCCCCTAAGGCGCACAATGGTTGAAATGGAGCAGGTTGGAGTCTGTTTATTGGTCGTAAATGTTTTTCTGAAGATCTTCTGAATCTCATTGTTAGCTCGTTGTTTGAGGCTGCCCTCTTTCTTTCAGACGAGAGTAGCCTTGGACTTTTCAATTTTCAATCGTAACATCTGCTTAATCGTACGGATCAAAATATGGAGACACAAAACATATGTAATGGTTGATTTGTTAAATCCTGGTAATGAGTTATTAACAAGGGAAAACAATAGGGCAGGATGGTGAGAGCCTTATGGTAACAGAGTCACTTTATGCAACGCCTGACGTTTCCCTTCTTGATAAATGGAACTAAGGTCTGAGCGCCAGGTGATAGCAAGAAAATCAATGTCTTTAGGGGCCGGCACCGAGACTTTTCTTCTATGTGAAAAATTAGGAGACATAAAATTTAATTGGCTGATCAGGGGAAAGCAGTGGTCTTAAGTTTAATTGCCAGTAGGCTTAGCGAGGGAGACAAAACAAGATTTGGGCCTGTTTGTTTGCTTGCATCCCAGCGCCGAGTCCAAGTGTATCGTTGAAAATGTGTTTTATTATAACACATGTCATGCTTTACAGTTCCCATATTGTGTAAAGACAATAGTTAATGGTACATTAAAGACAAGCAAACCATGCCAACACGTCTTGGACACATTGTAAGGGCCTCTCTCTTTGCTCGCTTTAGGCAGCTGCAGTCCAGGACCCAGAAGCACAAAAAGAACAAGTTTGAAATACCAGGTGCATCCGAGAGAACCACGACAGGGATTGATATGTTATAGCCCAGGACATGAACCTAGCAATAAAGATATCATTGCGATTGTTTGCGGCTTCCACGCCATGTAAAGCCGGAGGCGCCGGAGCAGGCTGCTTTCTGGCAGCGGAGGCTCTGCCTCCCCGGGCTCCCCCGGCGCCCTCCGCCAAACCCGAGCACCTGTTGGCCAGACCCCGGCCCCGTCGTGGGAATCGCCTCCCGCCCACGCTTCCAGGTCTCGGCAGCGCGGTTTGTTGTGGAGTTATTTAGGACCATTCCCACCGGCTGCGGGATGCTTTGGAAAGCGGGAGGTTTACCAGGGGACACTCAACTGGTGTTTGTTCGACCTCGCAGCTGGTACTCGGTGCCAGCGAGAGATGCGTGAATGAAAGAGGGATGAGATCCCGGGCTCGGGAGGCTTCACGCCCCGCGCCTCGCAGGGCGCTCACCCGACTGCCGGCAGATGAGAGGCCCTGGGAACCGCGGCGGGACGGGTTCACAGTGCCCACGGCAGCCCCTGCCTGCGCACAGCTCTGCCGAGAAGTCACGCACGCCTTCCCGTCCCTTTGCTGGCTGTGCAGCCGAGCGGTCTGATGCTTCCTTCCCTTTGGGTGGGGGGGCTTTTTGTTTTTTGGGGTTTGTTTGTTTCGGGTTGGTGTTCTTTTTGTTGCTGTTGGGGTTGGTTTAGGTTTTTTGTTTTGGTTTGGGTTTTTTTTAATGGAAGATTGTCGGATTCGGTAATTAAGTTGTCTTTACACCTGGGGCATCACGAGTGATGCTGGTTCCGGAAGCACAGCATCAGCCCGCACACCTAGAATCCGCACCTCCCTCCTGTGAAACTGCGGGAAGCAAACTGCGTGCAAGCGCCTCTAACACTCCCTCCTACCCCAAGCGGGGCTGGGGGTTTACCCCCCTTTTGTTCTCTCCTATCTGCTTTCCAGCTCCCGCGGGGCTGCGGGGAGCGGCGGAGGGAGGCGGGACGGGGTCCCGGCGCTCGGACGGGCCTCCCCCGCCCCCCCGGGGCGCCGTCGGGCAGTGCGGGCGCGGAGGGGCGGCCCCACGGGAGCCGGTGCGGGGTGTCAGGAGGACAGCGGGGGCTCCGGGAGCGGGGCAGGGAGGCGGGGAGCCACTGCCCACGGGGCCTCGGGGGGCAGCGCTACGGGGTGCAGCTCACGGCCACGGGGAGGAGGGGGCAGGCGGCTGGGAACTGGGGTTGCGTGGCTGTCACTCACGCCTTCCCCACGCTGGTCCGTACCGTGCCGAGCCGTGTTCCCCACCAGCAAACCCCAAAAAGCTGCCGCAAAAGCTGCGAACCGGCGTTGCGTGAGCCGCCGGGTCCCTCTGGGCCGGGGGACCTGCACAGGCGGTTCCCTCCTGCCCTGTGCGGCGAATTTTGTCGCAGAAGCGCGGCACTGGGGTGAATGGATGATGAGTCAGTCAAAAGGAGCTGTCAGTCTCTTTGAAGATTGCGTTTAAAGGGACTTGCCAAGTCAAGACGGGAGAGTGACAAGATAGAGACCCTGGTGCTTTACATGCGAAGGCCGGCTCTTCCGCTTCATCTGCACCATACTAAAGGATGTGTTGAAGCATTGAATCACAAAAAAGTGGCATGCCAAAGAAAAGGTGCCACATAACAATGATTGTAGTGTTTTAATTGTGGGGGATCGCATCACCAAAGCCAATTGAGACGAACGAGGCTATACACAGAAGGAAACGGTACAACACTTCCATAACTTATAATTAAACTGAAGTCCGACTAACATTTGACTTTCTAATGAGTGTAATGAGATTACATGCCTGATGGAAGCATTTGTGAAAAAGCGACTTTCTGTGTTTAATGAGGTCCTAATACAGGACAAGATCGAATTATAGGTCGGCTCTTTTTCTCTCAAAGAGCCCCGTTTAAGTTCAATGACACCGGTACCGCCCGCCTGCCGCCGACGGGGCGAGGCTTGCGGCCGGCCAGCCCCGCCGCAGCCCAGAATCGCACGAAAAGTGAGCAAATAAATAAGCAATGAACCCCCCACCCAGCCCCCGCCCCGGCCGAGCCTCAGCGTGTTTGTGTGTGTAAGTAGCTCCTCTAATTGCTATTGGAATAGATCCATGCCATCCGCGCTAGGGAACTAAATGTGTTTAACTAGGTTAATGCAATTAGCATGCATGCAACATATTGCTCCCACTTTGAGGCAGTTAAAAAAAAAAAAAAAAAGAAAAAAAAAAAAACTAAGGAGAAGGAGAGATGTACAGTATATGATGAGTTATAATTATACCTTGGCTCACCCGGGCCGTTCCCATCCGCCTAGGCACCGCGCGGGGACAGCTCTGCTCCGGCCGCGGGCCGGGCTGGGCATCTGGGACTTTGCCGGGGGCTGAGCCGTCGGGGCTGAGCCGCGGGTGCCACGGGAAAATCAGCACCTGCGGCGTCGAGCCGAGCCCCCCGCCCCAGCCCGGGGCCGCCCCCCCGCTCCCGCCGGGAGCACTTGCAGCCCCCGGCCCGGCCCGCTCCTGCCGCCCCCACCCCTCGCCCCCGGGCAGGTGCAGCCCAGCCGTCCCTTCCGCAGCCGGGCACGCTGAGCTGGGGCTACCAGAGCGATTCTACCACCAGTTGCACGATGGCTTTGCAATGCACGCACCCCTCCCCGCCCCCAGCGGCAGCCCCAGGGCGAGGAGCGCGGGGGCTGTTTCCAAGGCACGGCCGCTGAGAGAACCGCGGGAGGCTCGGGGCAGCCGGCAGAGCCCCAAGCCTGCCCGGCCCCCAACCTCGTCCTTCCCTCCCCGGCAACTTTCAGCAACAGCTTTGTGCGGCTCTGGGTAGCGCGCCCATTCCCACGGAGCCGCGGTCGGGGCTGCAAGGCGGGGGACACACACCCTCGCAACGTTTGTGTTTGGGGGCTCGGATCTTCCAGCTGGAAACCACAAGCAGTGCTCAGACACTGAAAGGAAGGGACCTTCTAGAGATAGACAAAGACATCAGTTGCAAGCACTTCAGGAGAGGACGTCAAAAGGGGTGGAGAGAAGGCGAAAGTGTGTCACCGCCCGTCCCCGTCCCCCCCGGCTCTATAAGCGCAGCCCGAGCAGGCGATGGGGCAGTGCATCTGGGCTGAGGGTGCCACTGAGTCTCGGGGCTCATCCCGCCTGGAGACCGGTCCAGGTGTTCATTGCAAGGCTTCCTTGGGATGTGGTGGGGCTCTCAGAAGCCGCTTCCCACAAATATACCGCTCCACAACGTACAATTCGGGTTTATTATTAAACAACACAAGGAGAGTCCACGTGAGGCAATAAATTATTTTCACAGATTCTGGCATATTTCCCCCATTAGGAAAAAAAAAAAAAAAAAAAAAAAAGGTGCTGGTGGAATAAACCTATTGCATATCTTTAAAAAATCAAGATAAATTATATAAATTATATATTCAAAACAGACGATTCTACCTCATTATCACTACTCCGTAATAAATAGATAAATAAATTTGATTGCCCTTAGAGTCTGAATCTTAAATTACATTTACAATATAGGTCTCTACATACAGCATGTACAGAGCGGGCGGGGGCGGGGACCACCCGCGCAGCACCTCACGCCACGTAGTCGAAGGGGGGCTCGTTCTCGATGTCGTTGACGGAGGGTTTGTTGTTCACCTTCCGCGGGTCCTCGGGGGTCCACACTTTGGCCGTCCGGATGATGTTTTGTTCCTTGAGCTGCTTTTCATCAGTCCACGACAGCGAGTGACCGGCCAGAGGGGGGAGTCCGTAGTCGGGGTCGCTCGGGGAGGGAGATCCTGGAGGGCAGGAGGGAAAAGCAAGGGCAGGGGGTTATTGCTGGGGCCGGCATTCCTGCGGAGCGCGCAGGGCCGTCCCGGCCCGCCACTTACTTGTGCCGCGGTGGCAGATGATGATTTTCTTGGGCTGGCTGGGGCTCTCGCTGCTGGCGCTGCGCAGCGGCAGGTCGGACTGCACCAGCTCGCTGAGGAAGTTGATGTAGCCGATGGCAAGGCGCAGCGTGTCCACCTTGGAGAGGCGCTTCTCGTAGGGCAGAGTGGGGATGTGCGAGCGCAGCCCCTCGAAGGCGTCGTTGATGGACTGCATCCGCCGCCGCTCCCGCACGTTGGCGGCCTGACGGAGCTGCTGCAGCTCCGCCTCGGAGCGCACCCGCCGCCGCCGCTTGGCCGAGCCCAGCGCCTGGAGCCGCCCCCCGGGGGACAGCACCGCGGCCGCCGCCCCGCAGCATTCGTAGGCGAAGCCGGGCGAGGCGGGGGACGGCGGGAAGGCGGCGGCCGGCGGCGGGCAGCGGTAGCCGCCCTCGGGGTCGCCGCCGTCGCGGTAGTACTCCTGCAGCTGCCGGCTGAGGAAATCCACGTCCGGCTCCAGCAGCCCGTCCGCGGCCAGCACGTCCCGCGGAGGCGGCTCGGAGAAAAAGTCCTCCTCGTCGAAGTAGGGGGGCGAGGAGAAGGAGTCCAGCCCCCCGGGGAAGTGCTCCAGCAGCACAGTCTCCATGCTGCTCCCGGGCCCGGCGCGGACGGGACGGGGCAGGGGGCAGCCCCGCCGGGACGCGCTCGCAGCCGCTGTCGCCGGCCCGCTGGCCGAGCCGCCCCGGCGGAGGCGGTGGCGGGGCCGGCGCCCCCGCCCTGCCCTGCCGTGCCCGCCGCTGTGTGGCGGGAGGCCGGGCCTGGCCGCCGCTCTCCGGGGAGGGGCCGGAGCCGCTGGCGCCGCGGGCCGGCACGCGAGGGGTCTTATAACGACATCCCCGGGCGCGTGCCGCCGGCCGCCAGCCAATCAGGGCGCGCCGGGGGGGCCGGGCCGCCCGCCGGGGACACCGCGCGCGGCCGGGGGCGGCGCCGCCCGGGGCGGGGGGAGCGGCGGGACCCGACGGAGCCCCCGCCCGGCCCCGCCCGGCCCCGCCCGGCCCCGCCCGGCACTGCCCGGCACTGCCCGACACCACCCTGCACCGCCCGGCACCGCCCGGCACCGCCCGGCCCCGCCCGGCACTGCCCGGCACCGCCCGGCACTGCCCGGCCCCGCCCGGCACCGCCCGGCCCCGCCCGGCCCCGCCCGGCACTGCCCGGCACTGCCCGGCCCCGCCCGGCCCCGCCCGGCACTGCCCGGCCCCGCCCGGCACTGCCCGGCACTACCCGGCACTGCCCGGCACAGCCCGGCCCTGCCCGGCACCGTCCGGCCCCGCCCGGCACTACCCAGCACTGCCCGGCCCCGCCCGGCACTACCCGGCCCCACCCGGCCCCGCCCGGCACCACCCGGCCCCACCCGACACCACCCGGCCCCTCCCGGCCCCGCCCGGCCCCTCCCGGCACCGTCCGGCCCCGCCCGGCACCACCCGGCCCCGCCGCGGCCGCTCGCGACGGCGCGCCCCGCACGTCGGGCCAGGGCCCCCGCCGCAGCCTCGGCACCTCTCCTCACGAGCCGCTACCGAAACGCGCCTCTTGGCTTTGACGCAGCCTCCCTCTCGGCGCCGGAAAGCGTCGCCCCTGCGTATCTTACCCCCGGGAAGATGCTCCCCCGGGAGCTTTTCCCGCTACCCCGGGACTGCCAGTCCCCGCCGCCAGCAGAGCCGCTGTCAGAGCGGGCATAGGGGGAATCGATGGAGCGGCTTTTTCGTGGCGTTCGAGCTGAAGGCAATTCTATCGCAACATCAAAATACATCGCGTCAGCTCTTGCGCCCGGCCGTGCATCGATTTTGACCTCATCGGGCCCCGTTGCGTTCTCCCTTTTCCCACTCCCATTGCTACTCTCCGGACGAGCTCGCTCGGCGGAGGCTCTGTTAATAATTCCCTAACAGACTCTCACTGATTAAAGCCCTAAAAATTCTCACTAGAGTGAAATGGATTACCCGCCAGATTAGGAGAGGATTATCTCTGTCATTAGCGCTGCAATAGTTTGTCCGGCAGAGTCTGCCGAGGTTTATCGAAAGTGACTTTCCAGCGTGCCACCAGCGCGGGCAGAGATCAAACTCCGCGTGGAAGCGTACCCGCGTCTATCAGCAGAGCAAGACAGGGCCACCTCCGGGTAGGTAATAAATGACTGGACTTCAAAGCCGCTGACATCGCCGTGATAAGGGCAGGGAAACGCGTGAGTCACGGGAGGGAACAAAGAGCTTTGCAAGAACCACTTCTTGGAAAGTCCCGCCTGCAGACGGTCCACGAGAAAAAAACGAGAGGGGAAGGCGGAGACCTCTGCGCGAAGCGCCCACGCGTGGCCGTGGGACTGCTCCCACCGTCCTGGAAAGGGGAAACTAAGGGAGCGTCCCGTTACAGGGGCGATGCAACGGCGATGCAATTCCCCGTTCACCACCCGCGGGGCGGGACCAGGGACCTCGGAGGAGACCGGGATGAGTGCGTCCGGACTCCTGTTTCCATTCACGCCCGCCATCCCTCAATCTCTCACCACGCACCTCAGTCAAGAGCCAGGCTTCTGGGTGCCCATCCCCGCAGTGCTGCGGGGTGACCCCGACACTGCCTCTGCCCCAGGCTGAGCCAGCCCCGCTCCAGGGGAGCTCCAGGGGAGCCTTCCCGCCCCAGGCAGCTGCTCCAGCTTCCTCGTCAGCCCCGTCAACCCTTCGCCCCTCACGACTGTTTTCTGCACCGGCTGTCCCAAAACCGGCCGCAAGTCTTAGATGTGGTCTCACGAGCGTCGAGTGTGACCCTTCCCTCGATCCCCTGGGCTGTGACCGTGTTCGTACCGCTCCGAGCTGCTGTTGGCATTCCGTGCGGCCGGGTCACGGTCTGGCTTTCGCCCAACTCGCTGCCCACCGGCGCCTGGTGGGCACCGCTCCGAGCGGCACTGAGCACTGCGGTCAGGAGGCCCCTCGGCGTTCCCAGCTGCAGCTTGGCAGAGGCATCGCTCGCCCTCAGATCACTTTCCCGAGCAGTTGATCCGAAAGACCCACCTGGGAGAGCAAACACAGCTTCGGCACCGCACGAACAGAGATGTTTTCCCTTCCCCGCCCCGGGGCTCCCCGCGGTCGCGCTGCCCCCGTACACTGCGAGCATCCCTGTCCCTCCTTTGCCATCCTCAGCGCTGGGTGGGTTAAATGCTTCGCGACCTCACGGCAGCTGGTGTGAGGCGCTGGTAGGAGGGCAGGGACCTGTTGTGGCCAGCCCTTGAGGCTGCTGTGGGAGCCAGCTGTGCTGCTCTGCCGAGGTGCGGTGCCCGCACCCCCTGGTCACCTCCAGCCTGGGCTCCAGACCTGTGCAGGCCCGGGGGACAGGGACTCAGCTCGCTGTCCCTCTTGTCCCGCTGGGACACACCTGAACGGGAGCCTGCTCTTTCCCCACCTTGGCCCCGCGCAACGCAGAAAAATCTCCTTTTTCAAAATCAAATGGAATTGAGTGCAGCCAGGGAATGATCCCTATGGGCGGAGCACCGTAGCCAGAAACACAAGTATAAATCTAACAATATACCGTGTATCCCTCTCAAATCCATGCCACACCTGCCGCAAAACACACGGAAAATGAAGAAAGCAAACCCCTAGCAGCGCTGAGGTGATTTCGGGGGAATTTCCTGGCCACAGAGCTGGCTCTGTTCCCTTCCTTGCATGCCCAAGGAGTCATCACCTATGCGGTGGCAAGTTCTTGCTCCTGCCACATTCTGGCTGGAGCCAGACACTTGAAAGCCGATGAGCAAAGTGACCCCTGACTCCGTTACCCCATACACCAAATTTGCAAAGCTTCCCTCAGGTCAGACAGGCTAAGTGTCGCCAGATCCCGAAGGGAAGTAACATCCCCAAACAAGCTCTTTCCTCCAAAGCCTCTGCCACCACCTTTCTCCCAGTGCAGCGTTTTGACCACGGTATGTCACTCTCCTCGAGAGCGTGGCGAGGCGCCAGGGTACCTCTCAACGCAGTGGTGAAGCATCTTCCCGACTGCTTTACTGAAGGTCTTAAGGGGTAAGAAAGAGGAGATGAGCCAGCCTTTCTCCCTTTCCCATGGCTGCTGGTGACTGCTCAGCTCTGGTGCACGATGATACCAAACAGCTGGGGTGAGCCCTGCATGTGAATGTCACACTGTGGAGGGGGCAGGACACTACCGGGCCACAAACTCAGGCAGGTAGTCTGGGAAGTCGGTCTGTGCGGTCTGTGTGTCCCTGAGAGGCAGCTCCATCAGGACCGACGGCGAAGGGAGCGAGTTGCAATGGGAAGAAGAAGGATTTTTTTAGAAGCCACTGTTTCCAAACTGTTGAGGGCACGGAGCTTGTCTTGAAACCGGTCAGACCTAGCAAATCATTAGAAAATTTGGGAGCAGTGCCCCAGGGAGGAAAGCGATGCAGGCAGAACCCCACGACGGGCACGGCTAGCGTTCTGCCTATGCGCTGGGGTGCGCAGGTAATGAAACACCGCTCCCCGACTCCAGCGCTCGGTGCGACACCCGGCAGAAGCGATTCCCTCGCTGTGCCGAGCTCAGCCCTCGCCCCTGTAGCAGTGATGACATTAAAGATGAACGATTCCACTTTGTACATTCGCCTCTGGGAGGTGAGTACCGTCTCCGAAGGAACGGTCTGAGGTGCGGGAAGGTTCCTCTCGGGTTGCCTAAGACATTACAAAAGGAAATCTACAAAAACTTGGAATATGTACAAGCGGAGCCTGGGCCGCGGCGCCGCACTTGTCGCAAACTCCATTCTTTCAATATTTGTCATTCATGGATGTCTCACCTGGCCCCGTTTTGCTGTCGGGAAGGACACCTCCCTGCACTGCTCTCCAGCAATGAAAATGTATGAACAGCGCTTGATACTTCGTTATTTCTATTCTCCGAGGGCAGTAACAAGTGTTAAGGGGGAGAGGGAAGGGGGGTTGACAACGAACGACGCGCCAAAGGGCACACCGCCTTTCCCTCAGAGTCAATGACCACACGACAAGTCTGCCTGGCAGCCACCTTCATGGGAACCAGGACTAGCCAAAAGTCCAGAGATAGGGCGGGACATGGCACCACGCTGGGCTGCCCGAGGAGTCTGGCCCACCAGCACCCACTCCCGGCACTCCACGGGCCCACGCAAAGCCCCTCGCCGGGGCAATAAGAAGAGGGCGCGAACTTTGCATTGAAGGGACTTGGAGCACTCTGGGCCCTGACTCTGCTGGAGTGCTCGACCCTGTGCACGCCCCGGCGCAGTAAACCGAGCCCTCATCAAGAGATGGGGCCCGACCCTGGCTGGAGAAGACGGTAAAGATCTCCCCCGTGGGCGCCACTGAGAGTCCGCAGAGGCGCTTCCTCTCTAGGGCAGGAAGCGCCCCGGGCCCGCCGCCACCCATCACTTCGCACCGATGGATGGGTTTCGCCTCGAGGTCTCTTGGACGTGGGACGGGACGCGGGGCAGTCCCTCGCCCCGGCGGGGCTGCAAAGCGCTCGGCCCCCTGCTACGCTCTGCCCTCAGCGCGCCAGGCTGCCAGCCCCGGCTCGCTGGCCGTCCCAGCGCCTGCCGGCTGAGCTCGTCGGGCCGGGCCCGAGGGTTCGGGTCCCGGCGGGCTTTGCACTTCCCGAGGGTCTGCTCCGATCCCCACGGACCCCTTCGCACGCCCACGTCCTGGCCGTCTTAGCGGCGGGAGCAGAGGCGAGCGTCTTCCTTCGGGCACCGAGGCAGGAGCACGGCACGGGGCGCTGCTCCTCAGCCCCTCCGCCGGGGGACGAGCCGCAAG